CTTATAGAACGCCTTTATCTTAGCCTATACTATAAAGGTTACCTCCTAATTTAGTGCTATTTCCTCTTTAAGTTTATTAATAGCCCTTATTAAGCCCCTAACTACTAAGACTATCTTATAAATACTATTCTAAAGCTAATATAAATTAGATATAGTAGTATAATATATAGCTATAAGGATCTTAGTAGCTTCTATACCCTTAGTCTAAGTATTAGTAATAGTAACGTACTTAGTAAGGTTTTAGGTAGCTTCTTAAATAGTAGCCTTAAACTACTTAATATCCTTCTAATAAGCAACTATAGCTTCCTTATCCTTATCCCCTTTAGTAGGGTTTGCTACTAAGCTATAGTACTTATCTAGAGCACCCCTAAGGGTAGAGTACTCTTAGCTAATAAAAGAAGGAATCTACTAGAATTAGTAAAGGAACCCTATTAGACTTAGATACTTATTAGATTATAATACTTATTCTAGGAGATATAGTACTAGCACTTCTTAGAATTCTTTAACTTAAAATTAAAATTATTAAACCTACCCCTAGCTAGAGCCCTAACTGCCCTTATATAGAGAGCGCGATAAGTAATAGGGAGGACTCCTAGTAGTACTAGTACTAGTATAGCTAAAGGTCCTAATTTAGATTAGTAACTATTTAATTATATAGATTAAATACTTACTAGATTTTAGATAGATTAGGTTAAATATTTAAAAATTAGGGATATAGGAATAAGAAAGTTAGTAGGTAGAGGGCTAGTTATATACAGGCTAGGGATAGGGGTCTATGCCCTAGGAAGAAGAAGTAAAGGTAAAGGTAGAGGTAAAGGTAGAATTATTTTGCAAAATGCTCTTCTTTAATAAGGGATCTAAACCTAATCCTAAGGATAGGGACTATCCTTTCTCTATAGGAGGGGGTAGTATAATAATAAGGTAGAATTGCCTGCCTATTATTCTATACTAAGTTAGGACTAATAAAGGCCTAACTTACTAATATATATAGAGAACAGCTTGCCTATAGTTAGGATAGGCATGTTCTTCTTATCCTTTTGTACAAGACCTATAGGTGTAGGAATCTTATCCCTTTCTATACAGACGCGCACTCCTATATGCCTTTAAGTTGTATAGGATACCTTTTAGATGCCCTACCTACCTAAGTTATTACACTAATAACTTTATATACACTATATATTAATAATTAAAGTTAGTGCATTATATACTAACGCAAGGAACGCCACGCTATACCTAGCTACTTAAGCTTATTTACTCTAATCTCTTAGGGAAGATACCTACTTAAAGTATTAGTAGCTTATAGTATTATATCTCCTTTATTAATAACTATACTTAATACTTATAGATTTAGTTTCTTAAGCTTAAGACTAATATACTATAAGTAATTAAGGATTTTATTACCTATATAAACACCTAATTCTATAATAATAATATACTACAATATTCTATTATTAAGACCTTCTATTCTAATAATAGCAGCGAATACATTAGCTATAATCTTTAGAAATTTTTTATAGCTAAAGAAATTATCTATAAATTAATACTACTATACTACTATAAATTAAATAGCGTCCTAGAGTAATTTAACTACACCCTATTCTAGATTACTTAATATATAATACTATCTAATAATCTACTTTTCTTATAGGCTAAAGTAATAATATTAGTAAATTTTCTTAAGAATATTACGCTATATTCTTTAGACCTATTATAACATACCCTATATAAACAGCTCTTTAGGAAGAAGCTATCTATTTAGTACCTCTAACTATTTAGTATTTAAGGCTATATCTATATTCCTATAAAGGCCTAGAAGCTAGGTACTAAACTTCTACACTACTCTAAAGAAGGTATCTTTATTAGCTATAGTTATAGTACTAGGACAAGCTATCTCTATATACTATAATAAGCTATTATTATTAAATCCTAAGATATTACCTTTATCCTATAGGTTCCCTAGATATTTTAAACTATTTAGGACTAGCGAATTAAGTATAGTCTATAATATCTAGATATAGAGCTTTAATATCTAAAATAGTAGCCTAGGGAATTAGTTATAACACTCCCTCCTATTAAAATTCTTAATAATACTAAGCTAGGGGATATAAGTAACCTTCTATCTATACCTTAGATACCTATACTTAAGACTAGAGTAATAAATATACTATATAACCTCTTAAGTAGCCCTAACTATCTCTTTATATAGGTACTACCTAGGATAGGGCTAGATTTCTCTTCTTTAGGTGCTTAGAGTTTACAAACACTTACCCTACCCTAGAAGAAACTACGTATAAAGAAGATATTAGTACTAACACCTATAGCTATAACTTATATTAGATAATAGATAAAAATACTAGAGTAATACTAGGGTTCCTATACTATAGCATAGCTCTTTACTATAACTTATAAAGAAGATGCGTTAGTATATATCTTATTATTCTTAATAACTTTCTCTATTACTATAATATTAACTAACACCCCTAGGATATTTATAGAAGTAATAGACAAGAATTATACTACCTTATAGTAGCTAGCTATTAATAAAGAAATTACTAATTATATAGAAAATAGTATATAGGAAGTTATACCCTATTATAAGATACCTCTAGGTGTAAAGCTTATAGGCACTTAATAGGTATTTAATACTAAGTAAGATAAATCTAGTAATATTATTAAGAGAAAAGCGAGGCTTATAGTATAGGGATTTTTATAGTAACTAGGTTTTAACTATAATAATATATACTTACTAGTAGTTAGGTATAATAGCCTATATATCCTTCTAGTCCTTGCTACTCTATATAGATAGTAGATATAATAGGTAGACTTTAATACTATATACCTAAATAGATATCTTAAGCATAGGATCTACTACTAACTACTACTAGGATTACCTTCTAATAGCGCACTATTCTTGCTTAAGACCCTCTATAGTCTTAAGTAATCTAGATATAAATAGTATACTATCCTATCTAAGTAGTTAAAGTCCTAATATTTCTCCTAAGCTAATTTTAATCCTTATATCTTTATCTTAAGAGATCTTATCCTTAGAATCTATATAGATAATATCCTTATAGTTAGTACTTAAGAATAGATTAATATAATACTCTACCTTATAAAAACTTACTTTTGCTTTTAAGACTTAGGATAACCACGCATACTATTAGGACTTAAGATTAACTACTTTAATAACTATATAGAACTCTACTAACGTATATATATTTTAGCTATTCTTTAAAGGTATAGTATAATAGACTATAATAGTTAATATATACCTATTAACCCTAGCTTGTTCCTACCTTATATACCTATAGATATACTTATTAATATTAACTATTAGAAAAAGTTTTAGTCTATTATTAGCTCCCTTAACTTTATAGTAGTTATAAGTAGACTAGATATAGTATATATAATTAGTCTACTTAATTCCTATAATACTAACCTATTAGAGAACTATCTTAAACTAGTATTCTAAGTGCTCTAGTATATCTATATAACTTTATATTATTAACTAATAATTAGTATACACTCTACTAGATAGTCTACTAAGATTATAATATACTCTAACACCTCCTACGCCTTAGACCTAGATAACTTAAAATTATTCTCTAGCTATATCCTTAAAATTAATAGATTAGTTATCTTATAGTTATCTAAGTAATAGAGCTACGTTACTTAAAGTATATATAAAGTAGAATATATAGCTACCTTATATATAGTATTATATCTTATCTAGGCTTAACACGCTATTATAGAATTCCTGCTAGTTATACTACTATACTACCTGCTTATTAATAATAAACTAGCTATTACACTTATTTAAGACTAGAAGTTAAACTTATAGTTAAAGTATATCTATATTTATTACTACTTTATAAGAGAATAATTCCTAGAAGGTAACTTTAATATCTAATATATTTAATCTAGTAATAATCTTATAGACTTATATATAAAGGCACTCCTAAGGCCTATATTAGAGAAGTTAGACGCTAGAATATTAGATATTATAAATAAAGAATAATCTTATTTACTTAGGAGACTAGGGAATATAGTTTTTCTCTTATTTTCTTTATATTTATAGTTACTATAGATTTAGGGGACTATTATTTCTATATTACTTATAGTGCTTACCTTATACTAAGGTGGTAACTACCCACCACTATTAGCGACTCCCCTATCCCGGGTTAACTAGGAGACACCTATTTGGGACTAGTGGGGATGTCTATATCTAGCCACCTTGGCCCTTCGTCCATAGATTCTTCAATCAATACTTTCTCATCACATCAGGGGTGGGTGTCGCGATGCAGTGGTTGTTTTTCGTCATTGGTGTGGTCCTTGGGGATGGGTACTGTTAGTATCGATGGAGGATGGGCACTACTGTATGGATTGCGGTGGAGTATTCCTGGTGGAGGTGGGTGTGGTTGTGGTTCCTAGGTAGGAGAGTGGAGAGATGGGAATGCAAATAGTAGGTAGTAGAGGGGGCGCATGGGCACCTGTAGAACTGAACTGTTTCATACTGTACTGTACTGTGTGCTCTACCAGAGTAGAGCACAGGTTCACCACCACACAAACCCACTCTACCCACTGTCCCCTCATCTCCCTTTCCCCTCGCACATTCGCAACAAGCCAACACCTCCATCCCCAAATCCGCCACTCGACCCCCCCGACCCTCCGACCACCGAATCCCATCGGTCCCGCGGGATCTTCCACCTCGCACCGCCAAGTCCAAGCCCCGCATTCCACCACCCAACCACACCAACCCGGTAGAGTTTGTTCGCCCCCCCGCCCCCGCATCACCAACATCAGAACCCCCATCCATTCGACGCAAGTGAGATGACCAGTCCGGTAAGTTTCGCTGCTGTAGTCTGCAGCTGCAGGCCCACGGGTGCTAGGGCACGCTCACTGCATATCGCCGGGAGGCTGTGCTTTGCCTTCTCCGCCGGGACTACTCCTACTGGACTTACGGTACCGGTAACTCGCTACATCATCATGGTCTGCGGACCATGGGTCTTGACGCCTGTGATCGAGGACGCTCAAGGGCCAATGGGTTTGCGCCGGGAATGCGGTTTGAGGCTATAGTGCTGTATACCATAGTAGTAAGCCTTGAGGGCGTTTTTTTCTTCTCCACATCTATATGCTTGGGCTGTTATAGGTGTTGCTTAGCCGTGCTGCATGTGCCGTGTGCGGTCAAGTTGTCGTGACCGAACCAGACGGATGTTCAGGAAGAGTTGTCGTGCCTTGTTGGTTGGTGGGGAGACATTGGGGGATGGGAAATGCCGTGTGTGTTTTCTGGGCGGTTTGTTACGTGAAGGTGTGTAATGTGTAGGACGATTGGTACGGTACTACAGTCTCATGGTCTGACTGACATGACACCCATCTGCTCTTGATGACATATGCACATACCATAGCCATGGGACCAAGCCTCCCCCGCCTCTTCCCCTGCTCAAGATAACACAAGCCAAGCTCGTCCGGGAAACATTTTCTACCGCCCTATTGTACCTACCTACGACGCAAAAGCAGCGTCGGCTGGCTCGTTTGGATCAAGGAGCACCTGGGCATGAACTGTGTGTTCGTCACGCGAGTTGGGGCATGTGTAGGCGGGTTTGACCAGGCCGAATGCGGCGGGTTTGAGGGAGGGAGGGGTGGAAGGCTAGGTTGGGAACGGTGAAAACTACCATACTCTAATCTACCAGATCGAGGTACTGGAATTCTTCTAGGGTGTGCAGTTGACGACTTCGGACTTGGTTGGTGGTGTTTTTGCGCTTACTAGGATACCATAGTAGTTACCCATCCACGTCAGTGGTGTCGTTCACATTCAACAACATGCCAGAACATTTTCAAAATCAGACTGCACACCATCACACCCAC